AAATTTTGAAAACCATTTATCATTTTCCTTCCACTTCACAATTACAGGTGAAACTCGAAAAATTATAATATCGTGCAAAAGTTCATTTATTTCAGTAATGCAACTTAAAAGGTGAAACTAATATATGAGATAGACTCATTACATGCAAAGCAAGATAGTTCAAGCCGTGATTTGTCATAATTGTGATGATTATGGCTTACAGCTCATGAAAACCCCAAATCCACAATCTCAGAAAATTTGAATATTACAAACAAGGATTGCACATAGAACAATATAAGACCTCTGAGGAGTATAAGCATGCATATGTACTCAGTACTTGGTTTGGGCCCCTTTTGCAGCAATTACTGCCTCAATGCGGCGTGGCATGGAAGCTATCAGCCTGTGGCACTGCTGAGGTATTATGGAAGACCAGGATGCTTCAATAGCGGCCTTCAGCTCTTCTGCATTGTTCGGTCTCATGTCTCTCATCTTTCTCTTGGCAATGCCCCAAACATTCTCTATGGGGTTCAGGTCAGGCGAGTTTGCTGGCCAATCAAGCACAGTAATCCCATGGTCATTGAACCAGGTTTTGGTGCTTTTGGCAGTGTGGGCAGGTGCCAAGTCCTGCTGGAAATGAAGTCAGCATCCCCATAAAGCTCATCTGCGGAAGGAAGCATGAAGTGCTCCAAAATCTCCTGGTAGACAGCTGTGTTGACCCTGGAATGAAGCACAGTGGACCAACACCAGCAGATGACATAGCTCCCCAAATCAACACAGACTGTGGAAACTTCACACTGGCCTTCAAGCATCTTGCAGTGTGTGCCTCTCCATTCTTCCTCCATACTCTGGGTCCTTGGTTTCCAAATGAGATGCAAAAGTTGAGGACTTTGGACCACTGAGCAACAGACCAGGTCTGTTTTTCTTTAGCCCAGGTAAGACGCTTCTGACGTTGTTTGTTGTTCAGGAGCGGCTTGACAAGAGGAATACGACATTTGAAGCCCATGTCCAGGATCTGTCTGTGTGTGGTGGCTCTTGATGCACTGACTCCAGCCTCAGTCCACTCCTTGTGAAAGTCCCCAGCACTTTTGAATGGCCTTTTCTTGACAATCCTCTCCAGGCTGCGGTCATCCCTGCTGCTTGTGCACCTTTTTCTTCCACACTTTTCCCTTCCACATAACTTTCTATTAATGTGCTTTGATACAGCACTTTGGGAACATCCTTCTTTTGCAATTACCTTTTGAGGCTTTCCCTCCTTATGGAGGGTGTCAATGATGGTTTTCTGCACAACTGTCAGGTCAGCAGTCTTTCCCATGATTGTGATTCCTACTGAACCAGACTGAGAAACCATTTAAAGGCTCAGGAACCCTTTGCAGGTGTTATGGCTTAACCATTTCAATACCGGGTAATTTTACACCTTCCTGCCCAGGCCAGTTTTCACGTTTCAGCGCTCTCACACTTTGAATGACAATTGCGCGGTCATACAACATTGTACCCAAACAAAAATTTTATCATTTTCTTCACACAACTAGAGCTTTCTTTTGGTGGTATTTAATCACCACTGGGGTTTTTTATTTTTTGCTAAATTACCAAAAAAAGACCAAAAATTTTGAAAAAAAAAAAAAAGTTTTTCTTTGTTTCTGTTATAAAAGTTTACAAATAAATAATTGTTCTTCATAAATTTAGGCCAAGATGTATTCTACTACATTTCTTTGGTGAAAATAACCCAAATTAGGATGTATTATTTAGTTTGTAGGAAGTTATAGCGTTCACAAACTATGGTATAGATCTGAAAATTGATCAATCCTGAAGTACTGACAGCCAATCTAATTTCTTGAGGTCCAAGAAATTCAGAATAGTACAGATATCCCCAAATGACCCCTTTTTGCAGAGTACACAGTCCGACGTACTTCATAAGAGGAATGGCGAGTTTTTTGAAGTTGTATTTTTTTTGTCATAATTTTTCGGAAAATTAAAAAATTAAAAAAAATTATTTTCACTATTTTTTTTTTTACATATTGTCACCAGTGCAGTACAGCGTCATCATATAACTGGCATAGCGGTGAACAGGGACACTGACTGGTGACAGTATGAAAAAATATATATATATATATATATATATTTTTTATTATTTTTAATTTTTTATTACATTTTTTTTAATTTTTTTTCTTTCATATTTTACTATGACCAAAGTAGTACAATGTTACCATAGTAACATTGTACTACTTTGGGGAAGTGATCAGTATTTTTTTTTTTTTTTTTTACACAATTTGCTTATAGCAAAGAATTACTTTGCTATAAGCAAGCATGTACCTGAATGACATCGATTCATTCAGGTTTTTTTTTTTTTTTTTTGTGCTTAGCTGTGATTTGGCCACAGCTAATCACATGACATGTGCAGGTGACCTGCTGTGACCATTCACAGCTAGACACTAATATACAATGGATGGCATGAATGAAGTCATCCATTGTATACAACTGTCATGTGACCTGCTGTTATTGGTCACAGCAGGTCACATGGTACCGGCAACGGGGGCTGGTACTCAGATCTGTCATCGGCCGTGTCCGAGGTACACGGCCGGTGACAGATCGCGCTGCTGCGTGGCTCTGCAACCGCGCGAACTGCGCATGTGCGGGAGGACGCCAAATGGCGTATACCCCGGAAATCTGCAGCACTTTTGAGGCCGCCAAACGGCTATAGGCCGGGCGGCTAATGGTTAATTAGCGGATTAGAGTGGGACACTGTGAGCCGAGAATATTGCACCTTTTCACAATATTCTAATTTTCTGAGATTGTGGATTTGAGGTTTTCATGAGCTGTAAGCTATAATCATTACAATGATGACAAATCACGGCTTGAACTATCTTGCTTTGCATGTAATGAGTCTATCTCATATATTAGTTTCACCTTTTAAGTTGCATTACTGAAATAAATGAACTTTTGCATGATATTCTAATTTTTCGAGTTTCACCTGTATATGCCACTTTGTGTTGGTCTGTCACATAAAATCCCAATAAAATACATTTACTTTTTGATTGTAACATGACAAAATGTGGAAAATTTCAAGGGGTATGACTACTTTTTCAAAGCACTTTATGTCCACAGTGTCCTCGGTTCACAGGTAGTAGGTTGGAAAACGCTATGCATCATTCAGTGTAAAAAAGACGGGCACCGCTGGAATCTTCAGGGGACATTGGTGGAGAAGAGGTGAATATTGCAGCAAAAGCTTCATTTTTGTTAATTTCTTTTACACATTTGGATTCCGTAATTTTTCCATTGTTTTACAAAGGTGGAGTAGGGCTTTAGATTACAAATGCTTTTTGAAGCAATTTATATGTTATGTCAATTTTAAAGACTGGAGTTTTCCTTTAATCACTTTACGACTGCCTACCTGCAACGTACTGTGAATGGGCGGCTGCTGTAGGCAAAGCAATGTGCAGGGAAGGTCGCTGCCTACTTCTGGAGTTTGACCCCCACCAAGCCACCCACCCCCTGCAGGCACCCTTTGTGATTTTACACATTTGGATCCTATCAGCAAGTCCCGGCCAAGGATTCAATGATCCAGCCAATCACAGCGCAGGAGCTCTGTGCTGGTAAACAGCATGGAGTTCTGTGCAGAGGGAGCGATCATCCCTGGGATGAGAAACTTAGGTTGCTTACATGCTGATCCGTTTTTCTTCCACCTTTGCATTAAAAAAAGTGGAAAACAAAACATGTGTCCATGTATTTCTATTTCCATGCAAAAAAAAAAAAAACATACCTCCCTCCCATTGAAATAAATGGAAAATGTGGCAAAAATGCATCCATGGTGGGTTTTTGGTGGGTCACATGTCCTGCAAATAATGCACCACAAATGTGGTAAAAACGCAGCAAAATGGCAAATGCATTTTTGCTGTGGATCAGTGTAAAAGTAGCCTTAGAGATCGTTTAGTAAAAGCAGCACACTTTACACAAATTAGTCTAGGTTCACACCTATGCAGGTTGTGTTTGATGCGTTTCGTGTTGTGTTTTGCACTTGTGTTTTTGCTGTGTTTTTGATGCGATTTGAACATTTTTCATTTTTTTTTATTTTTCTTGTTGCTAGACAGATTTTAAATGCAAAACGCAAAAAAAATGACAAAAACGCATAAAAAACGCAATACATGCTTTTCTGCAGCATTCCCATTGAAGTCTATGGAACCAAAAATGCAATGTTTTGCGCTCCAAAAAATGCACCGGAGGAAAACGCACAGATGTTAACCTGTCCCATAGGAAATCATGTTAAATGGACTGTACTGCATTTCTTCAAAACGCTGCAGAACACACTTAGGTGTGAACCTGGGGTTATAAATAGTTAGGCACACATTTAACCCCTTGATTGCCCCTCCCTCCCAGCCAGTGTAATTAGTATAGTGACAGTTTATAGTATTATCACTGATCACTGTATTAATGTCACTGGTGATGTCAATGGCAGTTAGTTAGTGTCAGTTAGTGCAGCCACACTCCTGCAGTCCCATTTTAAGTTGCTGATCACTGCTAATATTACCATAAAAAAAAACAAACCAGCCAAAAAGTTTAATTTTTTGAATATGTTTTATAGCAGAAATACTGGGTTTTTTGTTCAAAGTTTTTGGTATTTTTTTTTCATTTATATCCCAAAAAATAAAAAACTTAGTGGTGATTAAATACCACCTAAAGAAATCTCTATTTATGTGGAACAATTATATAAATTTAATTTGGGTCCAGAGTTGCATGACCGCGCAAATACCAGTTAAAGTGTTACTACACCCAGGACCCTGCATCCACTATATTTGGTCTCCCACAGTACACAGAACATGGAAATGCAATTATTTTAGTAAATATAAACTGCTAAATACCTTTTTTCTCACCAGAAGTTAGAGCAGTCTTGTGACTTCTATCAGTGTCCAGCCAAGCACTAGCTAAAGCTTGTTCCTACAAGCTTTAGCTAGTACTTTAGTTAGTAGCTATAGCATAATGAAAACTTCTCCTGGAGTTTTCATTCTGCTCTAGAAAGATGCAGGACCCCTGAATTCTATCTGGACAGTGCTGATTGGCCCTGTGCTTATCACGTGCACCCTCCCAAGAAAAAAAAAACCTCTCTAGCAATACACACCAAACTAAGCATGTGCAGAGTGTCGCCACACAATATGTCTTATCAGGAGATAAGAGGGGGACACTGGAAGAAGGGGAGGATCATAGAAGTCAAGATCAAACAGCATTTTTACACAATGCAGAGGATTAACCCCTTAGGTTCCATTGTGAGTATAACAAGCATGCTTTACTGCATATACAGACTGATTTTACGGTTGTGGGTTTAGTAACAATGGCTTCTGCTAGCCACGAAGGTACATTCTGTGCCCTGTTACTAACCATACAGTCTTGATTACTATACTCCTCCTTTTCCTTTGTAAAAACTGAGGAGAAGAATGCATGATCGTTGATCACAATTTTCTTTTAACCTGTGTTCTGAAAAAAACCCTCTCTAGCAAATACACACCAAACTGAGCATGTGCAAAATGCCTATGGTTCAGTCTGTCTTATCAGGAGACACTTGAAAAAGGGGAGGAACAGAGAAGAAAGGATCAAACGGCCTTTTTACACAATGCAGAGGATTAACCCTTTAGGTTCCTCAGTGAGTATAACAAGCATGCTTTACTGCATATACAGACTGATTTTACGGTTGTGGGTTTAGTAACACTTTAAGTAGCGCAGTGCGGTATAGCAAAAAATGGCCTGGTCATGAAGGGGTAAAATCTTCCAGAGCTCAGGTGGGTAATGGCACTTGATTACAGGTTCCCACAAACCCACATCTCTTTGCTACAAGAGGTTTAACTACTTGTTGCCCATTATGCCATTAGCAGCACATTGAATGTAGCGTGCTGCAAATGAAGACACTGCCAACAAGCAGGTAAATCTCTCAGCAACCAAGAGATGAATTCCCTGCATAGCCCTAGGCTGACGAAAGGTTTTGGAAACACGCCAAGAAGCATGATAAGAGCTGACCGTGAAGACTATCTGTGCGTCTAATTAATATTTTGCGCCAATAGTCATAAAATAATAGTGACCCGTTTCCCACCTTTGTGAACACAGATCTTTCATACCAGAAACAGGACTCATTACACACCAATAAGTGTACGTGAGATTCATAATGAGTTCTATGATTTGTTCTCTGGGCTCTGAACTCTTAGAATGAATCTATCACTTCAAACTTGTGCTGCCGATCCAATTTGGGTAAATGGAATATTTATAGGAAATGTGGCTGCAGCTGCTGGGAACTGACTACCCGCAGGACATTTTTCAATACACATGAAGATTTTGGTTCCTGTAAATGAAAGTTAGTAAGGAAGAACATATGTGTTCCTTTCAAGATGGGATGATTAAATGGTGACAGCAAAGTCCATTAACTTGTCAGAAAATGGGGGCAGCTGTATTAACACCCATCTCTGTGTCTTTCCAATAATTTACTGCATCCATTTGTCTTCATGGCTTAAAAAAATGAAAAAATAATAACTGCATTTACATTTTTCTTCCTATAGTCTTGTCTACTCACCCTAGGTTCACACCTAAGCGTTCTCTGCAGTGTTTTGCAGAAATGCAGTACAGTCCATTTAACATGATTTGAACACGCGAAAGACACCGGCCAATGCGAATCCCCGTGCCGATGAGCCCTAAGAGCCTGCCGAACCCAGAAATCCTTCGTGAAATCCTGACACCCCTGAAATTTAAAGAAAAAGGCCAAGCCGGCCAACCTGTGGTCCACAGCCGCCGCAGACACACCCCGCTCAAAGTTCCTAGCCACAAAGTACAACACAGCAAGCCATACCTCCAGCTCCCACGGATCAAGGCAGAGCCGTTGCAACAGTTCCAGCCACTCCAGCCAGACCTTGTAGTACGCAGACTGGAGCCGGCGACGACCCCAAGGCAATCTCCCACAGCCAGTCAGGACAAGGAACCCTGCGTTGCTCCGCTGCCGGTGCCAACTCTTGGAATTTGTCCCACTGAAAACGAGACAAAGCGTCAGCCAGAGCATTATCAACCCCGAGGAGATGCACAGCATACAGAAAAACATTCAACTGAAGGTTTGCTCAACACCAAGTGGTGAAGCAAGCCAATCACCGGCTGTGAAGAAGCAGAGACCCGATTGATGACCTGAACCACCCCCAGATTATCACAGTGAAAACGAACCTTCAAATTCAGAAAACACTCACCCCAAATTTCCACCGCCAACACAACCGGAAAGAGTTCCAACAAAACGAGATTGCGAAGAAAACCCACCTCCCACCAAGAAGATGGCCACGGAGCCGCATTCCACCGACCCCGGAAAAAAGCCCCATAGCTCGCAGAACCCGCCGCATCCGTGAACAATTCCAAATCAAAATTGCTCACTGGGCCAGACATCCACAGAGACTGCCCATTGAAGGACTCTAAAAAAAATGTGCCAGATCCTCAAGTCCGCCCAATGCTCCCGAGTCAAGCAAATAAAATGCAAAGGGGAGGTAATACCTGACATTGCCGCCGACAACCAGCAACAAAACATCCGACCCATCGGCAGGATGCGACAACAAAGTTAAGCTTTCCCAACAATGACTGCAAGGCCTGCAGCTGAATCTTACGCTTGCCCAAGACCACACGAATACCTGGAGGGCCAACAGCTTGTCCTCAGGCAGACGGCATTCCATAGCACCAGCATCCAAAATGCCCAGGAAAGTAATCACCGAAGCCGGGCCCTCCGTCTTCTCCAAAGCCAGCGGAATCCTGAAACGCTCGGCAATGTGTTGCAAAGTGGCCAGCAGAACAGCACACACGTTGGAAGCTGGCGGACCCACACAGAGAAAATCATCCAAATAATGGATAACGGAATTAACCTCCAAGACATCTCGCACCACCACTGAACGTCTCGAACAACACACAAGAGATGGAACACCCCATGGGAAGGCACTGATCAACATAAAATGAGCCCTGCCAATGACAGCCCAGTAAGCGAAAGCTGTCAGGATGCACTGGCAGCAGCCGAAACGCCAATTCGATGTCCGATTTGTCCATGAGAGCCCCCCGCCCATAACGGCAAACCCAAAAAATAGCTGCATCAAAAAAGACGTACAAGACACAGTACACGACTCCGGAACGATCGCGTCTTTCACCGACCCCCCTTTGGGGAAGAAAAGATGATGAATCAACCGAAACGCATTGGTCTCTTTTTTGGGCACAACCCCCAAGGGAGAAACAACCAGATCCGGAAACGGAGCGCAAGAAAAGGGACCGCCCATGCATCCCAACCCCACTTCCTTACGCAACTTAGCCGAAACCACCTCCGGATGCTGCAAGACAGACCTTAAATTCCGCGCCAGTGGCGGAATCTAAGCCAAATTACAAGGGATGCGAAAACACTCAAAAACTCCACCGCCAGCAGCAAGGCAGCCTCCCGATCAGGGTATCTATTTAGGAAAAGCCGCATCCTTTCCACCCTCACCGGCGGCGTCCCTCTTACCCGCATGCTCACCGGCACGGCCTCTACCCTGCTTGAAACAGTGCAACAAGGAATGGGAGCCACCGCAACCGGAACATTACTGTTTAAACCGGCAGGACCCACCAAACCGACAGGACCCCTCATTGAACTGCCAGTAGAAACCCCTACGCTTTGCGGCCGATTGCCCCGGGGAGAACGAACCACCGGCCCCACCCCGTAAAAACTGACCAGGGGCCCGCGCTGGAGTCATAAATCACATCCAAAGGTCGATGTCCTTGTGGTCCCAACGCAAAGACAGGCAGACGGCCCTATGCTGCCAAAACTGTTCATCGTAACGGAGCCAAGCGGTGCCCCCGTAAAGCCTGTGAGCCTTGTTAATAGCAATGATCCGGAGCCTTCTCCCCAATGACACTGGCCATAATAGTGAACGCCTGCAACCAGTTAGAGAAGGTCTGCGGGATAAACCAAAAACTCAGCTTCTCCACCTCCTCCCGCCTACCCTCCTCGACCCGTGACCCATCCACAGGAAAACGTTCCAAAGGCAGGAGCGTGAAGATCGCCACATACTCATCGCTCCAAATCTTCTCCCGAACATCAGGCTGCAAGTGCGCACCTAACGGGCACTCGAAGCAAACATACACCTCACACTTAGCAGAGTCCGCCAGGCAGACCGGCTCCAAAGGCGTGGATGGGCACGCAGGGTGGAGAGCACAGGCCTCCGCTGGAACCACCCCTGGCCCAGAACACAGAGAAGAAACCGCCAACCCCTGCAACTCAGTAAGGTTCCGACCCGGGACCCCGATCACATCCCCGCCAGCACGAGGGAGCCACGTAGAAGCCGGCCCAGCGCCGCCACTATCACCCTGCTCAAGGCACTGCAGCAAGTCCCACAACCCAGAAACCAACTCGCCCAGACCCGCATCAAACCCAACGGGGAAGCACCGACGTCCACCACCTCAGGGGCGGAGGCCGCACCACCATCCGATGCCGCTAAAGGGGTGGCCCTACCCCCCAACAGATCCCGCAGAGCTTAACAGAAAGAGAAAGAGGAACCAAATACATTCAACTTACCAAGCTGCCCAGGAGAGGTCCCATCAGCCGTAGATTAGGACTCCACCGCCACCGAGCAGCCGGCCGCCGCACCCACATCAGATCCAGACAGCTCACCCTCGGAACGGTCCTCTGCTCTGCACCGGTCAGATGGCCTCCTGGTCCCAGGTCTGTGCCACTCACGACTCTGCCTCCCGGCACCAGACCCGCCCACTGCAGATCACCATCCAGCCGTGCGCCCAGCTGCTCTCTCCCCAGCACTGCTCCTCTTGCCAGACTTCCATGTTGAGGCTCCTGACCCCCTGAGGGACCGCTGGCCTCAGGAGGGGACAGGCCAGCGGCCGCAGCTGAACGTCTCCCATGCCGGGCCCTCTCACGGTCCGGTGCCCCGCCAGGGGAGGAGCTGTTACCAAGGCAACCACTCTGCTGAGCGGGTGGGGGGGAGGGACTGCCCCCACGTGGTCTCCCGCCCGCCGAGCTCCGCCGCGGATGGGGATTCCTCCTGGCCCCTACGCCAGCAGAGGCAGGGGAACACCCTGCCCGCAGGGCTGGAGGGTCCAGATTGGGGCACCCTGGAAGGTGCTGAGCTCTGGGGGAGGAGCCCGGACTAAACCGCTCTGGAGGCCGAGACCTCCGAGCGCGTGGGTACTCCTGCCCCCCGGCTGCTGGCACCAAGCCCAGGCCCCCCAGCATGGCCGAGACCCAGCTCTGTAGCCAGGCAGCACCGCGGGACACAGCAGCCTCCCACAGCTGGGGCATCAGCCCCTCCACATCCATGAAGGCCGTCCTCAGAAATCCCTGCAAGAATGGGGGAAAGCTGCAGCTCCCAGCTCCCTGAAGCTCTCTCTCTGCTGTCTGTTCCTGGACTGCAGAACGACCCTCCCCATCCACACCCACAGGTGCAGAAGACCCCACCTTCCACTCCCAGCAGGGGTGGATTGACCATTTGGAAACTCGGGCACTGCCCGAGGGCCCTGGGTCAGTAAAGGGCCCCATGAGATGCCCCTGGTACCTTTCCTAGGCTTTTTTGGGTGTGATCTGAGTGTGGGCGAGCACACAGAGGCCCCATGATCCCCTATTGCCCGGGGGCCCCATAAGTCTTCAGTCCGCCCCTGACCCCCAGTTACCAATCAGGTACTTAACCTTAACTAAAACCCACCTCTTACTTTTCTCTCACCCTTTC